AAATGGTTGATATAATTATCTTTTATTTAATTAACTGGTTTGAAAATTTTTAATTACCTCGTCGAGAGTGTAAAATGGGAAAGAAAATTAAAATAAATTATCTCGGGTTTTGTCACACGTACATTGGGTTAATCGCTAGAAAAGGAAAATAAAATAAGGTAACGTTATGACGAGAATGCCCTTCTTCTCAACGAACCGACTGTAGAGGTTTTATGAAACGGAGTGGAGGGCAAAATCGCCAATTTAATAGAAAAGAATAGTGTATGAATGATGATGGGCTTTGCACAGTATCAGCATGGAGTTTATAGGTCTGTTCCTCTGTAAATAAACAAAGTCACAGATCAAACAGTGTATGTGCTCATCGTTTTTATTAGTTTTCTTTTTAAAAATATATACTAGTTCGTTTTTATTTGAACTAATTTCCAAAGTACAAAAAAAACACGGATTTTCTCATTTATAAACGTTTACAATAGCCAATAAACGTTTCTCTATTCTTTGCATAATACTACATCTTTGATAAATTTTTATTGTAAATACCATATGTTGTGAAAATAAACAAATACTTACGATGATAAAAATAAAAAATGTAATAAAAACTCGATAAAATAATGAGGTAGTAACGAAGAAAGAGGATTATGAAAAAAAACAACAAAAGAGGGAGAGTCAGATGGAGATGTGGGGGAGCTGAGTTGTCTTGCACGTAATACGCGATAATTTTTTGATTAATTTAATTAATGTCGTCAGAAAAAAGGAAATTAATTTACTAATTTAACTAATTGGATAATATATTAGAGGTCATTGATTATTTGATTATTTATTTTTAAGGATATGATTAGAATAATAATCCCACGCATGGCTCCCCCGCGAATCTCTCTTATTACTCATCGGGTTTTGTACTCAAACTAGCTTGCAATTTGCTGTATATTATTAATTCATCAACTTAATTATTTTTCCTTATTTTTTCATTAATAGATCCCATTTTGAATTAAATTAAATTTATACTACTACGTAAAACAGAAAACCTTTACTACATAAGTTGGTGAAATGCGATGCGGTTTATTAACTAATTAAAACAACTAAATTATCTATGCTGAAAGAGATCATCAATACAAAGATTAATTACTATGTGAAAATATGTGTTTAATTAACACGTATTAAAAGAAAGAAAGAAAGTACTATAGATATATGTGTACGCATGTGTGGGAGATATATATAGAACATAATAATGTTTTATGTAAGATAAATGATGAGTGATAATGCGATTAATGAAGAGGTGGTGTACAAGTAAAGTGGCACGTGATGTAAAGTTAAGTTGGATTATGTTGATTATAATGACCCTCTTCATTAGTGGAAGC